TGGAATTTAAGGTGCAAGTATGACCAATGCCTATTAACTACCCCCCAACCCTCTCCTAACCCCTAACCTACCCCCTCCACTCTCCTTCACAAAAGAAAAAAAAAAAAAAAAAAAAGGGAAGCACAAAAAGGAGGATACCAGAGGAAATGTATAGCTGCCTACTTTAGTTTTTGGCCATTTTTGCAAAATGCATTCAGTGGGACTGAAAATAAGTGGAATCAAGCAAAGATAACCTTCATTGTCGATGAACCTCATGTTTAAAACTCATTGGGATTACTGTGTTTGGATGAAAATAAGATAACACAATGCAAAATCATATACTTTTGCCGACATGGACAAAGACAGAGACAGAGTCGGGATTTGAAACTTATTGGTTCAGAATTTTAGTTCTTTTAAATTATTGAGTTCTAAATTAATAATTTATATAAGGCAAAATACAAAAGTTACCTCCCAAATTATGAACCAAATCTCTGTTACACACTTTCTGACCATAAAATCATTCTACACGCTCAACCTTTTCAAAGTGTGCCTAATACACACCTTTTTTTGATACGTGGCTCGCGCGTGCTTTAACAAAAAAAAATGAGCGCGTGTATTTCTTTTATTTTCCATATTTATCAAATAAAAAAAGCTGCCAAACAAATAATCTCTGTCTCCGGTCTTACCCAAACTACTAGGACCCGCCTCCTTCCTCTCCTGTATTCCCCAAACACCCACTCCGCTTCGTCTCTTCTTCTGAAATTTCAAAAATTCGAAAAACTCATGATAAATAATTAATGACACATGTCATGAATTTATTGGTGCGTGACATTACTAAGATAATTTTTGTGGTCATTACTAAGATAATTTTTGTGGTCAAAAAATATGTACAGGGATTTGGTCTATAGTTTAGGGGACAACTTACGTATTTTGCCTTTATATAATTTAATAAATATTATAAGATAAATATTGTATTTGAACCAAAACTACTGACTTCATGGAAGCCGGAAGTGAAAGGCTAGCTGCGCCCCGAACGTAAAGCAAGGTTCCAAGCAACAAGGAAAGAATTAAAACTCACTGAATTACACAAGGCTTTGTGAGGACAATCGCCCAACATAAGGGTGTTTGGCTCATCATATTCACCCCTCTCCCATGGAAGTCCTAATTCAAACTTCTCGCATAACTTTTTGAGCTTCTTCGAAATAATAGGCTAATTTGCTTCTCCTCCACCATTAACAGAGAAACCAGTATCAGTGCAGTAAGACTCATCGGTGTAACCAGAATTTTTGCTTAGGGTTTTCAAATTTTAAAGAAGCAAATAATTATTTTTTTCAATTAATGAGTGCACCGAATTAAAAATAAAAAAAACTTATTAATGGGTGCATTGAGAATCCATTTTTCTTTTTTAGCCGAGGTTCATTTACAAGCTAGTATAATGTTATTTGTAGGATAAAATTAATATATCTTACCGGAAAAAAAAAAGGTACCAAATCAAATGTCAAGCTTAAGCAAATAAAAAAGCAGAAAGAGTCTAAGAGGCCGTTTGGATTAGCTGATTTGAAGTAGCTAATAAGCATTAGGTGCTGAAAAATACTTTTAAGTGCTAAAACTGATTTAATAAATAAGCAGTTACGTGTTTGGATATAAGTGCTGAAATTGATAATAAGTTGCTGCAGTATTTGATTAAAAAGTGCTGATAAGCTCTTTTTCTGTTAAAATGACTTAAATAACCTTAGAACTGTTTACACTTATAAGGGCGTAATTTCTTCAAAATTTTAGATTTCAGATCGATTCATATACAAAATATCTTATTTGTCATTTTATTTTAAATACAACTGTGCTTAGATAAGATAATGTTTATGATAAATATAATTTATTTTATGATAAGCATATAATAATAAGTTATAATAATTAATAAATTGACAAAATTTTCTCAATAAAAAATAAACCTAAATAGGACAAAATATTGAAGAGAAACAAACACTGTCTTCGTCACCACAACACTTAAAAAGCAATACACCAAAATTTTGATATGTCCTCATTTATTACATACAATTCAAAGATTAATACACAATCACATAGATACAAAAATGCAAAGGAATAGAGAATTTGCTTATCTTATATAGTCAATGAGAATAGCAAACTTGAAGGGGAGGGGTGGGGGGTGGGGGGGTTAGGTTGAAAAAATACCTGAGACAGTGAGTATCGATGTAGGAGTTTTGTTCTAAAAAGGAATATTTTAAGGATAAAATAGTAAAAATGTTGGTCAAACTTAAAGTGCTTATAAGCTAAAAATTCATAAGCTGGGGGTGACCAGCTTATGGCTTTTGGCTTATTTTTGGCTTATAAGCACTTTTAACTTTGCCAAACGCGTAGATAAGCCGAAAAGTACTTATAAGCTAGTTTAACCGGCTTAAGCTAAACACCCTCTAATTCAAATCAGTATCATATTAAACATAAGGTTATAAGTTTACATACTCATAAAAGAATGTGCAAGTCATTCTGTTTCGAACCATGCGTTATGGTCTACCGGTACTCGGTAATTGCTCAATTATAAAAATAATGTGAGTCATTAGTAGATTAACTTTTGTCAAATAACTGTTTACCCAAAATACTTTTTGGTCGTATTTAAATTTAATAACCTTGCAAAGTAGAGTGAAAAGCTAAGTCCAGCTTTGACTTTCTATTAAATTTGCGGCTAAAAGCATTTGAAATCTTCCCACTTGATATTTGACTGCAAAAGACAACATGAATGGTGGGAGAATTTTGAAGGGCCGAGAAACTCAAAGAGGGGAGGGGGGGGGGGGGA